TTTAATATTTATAAATGTATATTATAAATTAAAACTTACGAATTTTCTAATTTAGTTTACACAAAATATGAAAGACATGTAAAAAAATCATATTAATTTGAATTCATTAATTTGGAAATTGTTTGTTTAATTAAAATGAGTAGATATCAACTAAAAACTAAAAGGTATATAACTAAATCCACGTAAAAATTATTTTAAAATAAAAATTTAATTTTGATAGAATTTTTTCCGTATCAATTAAAAAAAAAAAAAATATGACAAAAAATCGTTTTTTAGGTCTTAATTTGTATATTAAAAAACTGGGCGTTCCACCTTCAAATGCCAAGCTGCATTGAACGTGTCAACAACAGCCTGTTATCGATAACTGCAATAGCGACTGCAGCATGATTATCGGCCAGAGTATCGTTACTAACTGGCCAGCCTATGCATTTCACAATTGCTTTATAGAGTCGAAGTAATTAATACGAAAGTCGTGAGCTAAACGCATGATACTGCAACGAGGTGAAAATTAGAAAGAGATCAGCAACAGCAACAACAGCAATCGCAATAGTAATAGCAACAGCAACAGCAACAACAGCAAACAGTTATAACAAGAAGAACAATAAACATTTCCGGCATGCGTTTGCTGCAGTTGCGAGTGTTTGATGGCTGTCTGTCGCAGCTGTTGTTGTTGATGTTGTTGTTGCATTCAGCCAGCAATAACGTTCATTGCCACAGCAGCAGCAGCAGCAGCAGCAACAGCAACAGCAGCAGCAGCAGCAGCAGCAGCAGCGCAAATAATAACGAAGCAATAAACTGTGAATTTATTTCAACAAATAAAACTTTGATTTATTGCGCTACGCACACAGCATGCAACGAGGCGTGTGTGTGTGTGCATGTGTGTGTGTGTGTGTGTGTTGTTGGTTAAGTAAAAACATTAACGGCGCACACACGATAGAAATGCAAGCAGCAGCAACAGAAGTGGATTGGCCCCCAGAGATATTGCCACAGATAACGACACGAGCAACAATCGCGAATATCGAGAAGATTGCAAGAGCAGCAGCAGCAGGAGCAGCAGCAGCAGCAGGAGCAGGGGAGGGCCGGAGTGAGATAGTGCGATCAGATTGAGAATCCGTTTGAATGGATCGTAAATGTTAAATACGCGTGCATTTGCCAATTCGGCTGAGGCGAAAAGTCGTGCGAACTTTTACCAGGCCCAAGCCAAGCAAAGCCAAGCCAAGCTAGGCCAGGCCAGGCCAGGCCAACTCGAGCCGAGCCGAGCAACCAGTTAAATATCAATTTGTGGCCAAACAACAATGCGAAATGTTGCTGCCGAGAAGTTATGGCCGCTGCCAGCAGCAGCAGCAGCAGCAGCAACACGCAATGGCCAAAGGTCGCGACAAGACGCAAATTAAATTTGCATGCAGCAAGAGCAACAGCAGCAACAACAACAACAACAACAGCAACAGCAGCAGCAGCAACAACAACAGGTCGTCACTTAATTAAGAAAAGTTGCTAGCATCCATGTTGCTACTGGCATAGGGGGCAATGTTGCTGGCGTGCCAGGTTGCTGCTGCTGCTGCTGTTGCTGCCCACGCATGATTTTTGAATTAGCGCGCTGTGTAACAGCAACTAATATAATTGACAGTTGCTGTTGTTGCTGCTGCTGTTGCTGCTGTTGTTGTTGCTGTTGTTGCTGCTGCTGCTGTTGCTGTTGCCTACGTGTTCTGTGGCAGACATCAAACGCTGCACTGCATGCTAAGTAGCTGCAATGCCTGTGTGGCAGACAGAGAAAGCGTGCACGTGTATGTGTGCATGTGTGTGTGTGTGTGTGTGTTTGTGTTGCATGCAATTTGGGTCTGTTAATTGTTGTTGCTGCCGCTGCTGCGATTTATGCCGCTTGCATGCTAATTATGAATGCCAGCAACATGTTGCTGCCGCTGCCGTTGCCACCGCCGCCGCAGCTCAGCTGACAACTAAATCAGTCAAAGAAGAGGCGACCGTTAATTGCGCCGCAGTACACAAAATAAAAAAGAAATGAAAAAAAAAAAAAAACAACAACAACAAAAACAACAAAATAGGCAGCAACCTATTGAGTTTTCATGCTACTTAATGAGCAACAGGAGCAACAGGCCCGTAGCAACAGCAGCAACAGCAGCAGCGGCAGCGTAAGACAGGCAGCAGCAACAATTGCTGCTGTGCCTCCCATTGCGCACAGTTTGGGCCATGCCCAACTGGCAACTGTTGCTGCTGCGGCTGCTGCTGCTGCATCTTCTGCATTTGACGGCACGATTCAAAAAGTTTTCAATTAAGTCGCCGTTGCAGCAGTTGCTGCTGCTGTTGTTGGTTGTTGTTGCTGTTGCTGCTGTTGTTGTCGTTGTTGTTGTTGTTGTTGTTGTTGTTGTGGTTGCTGCCTTAAAACCTCATTAATATTGAAATTTGTTCGTGTGCATGAGTTATTAGCAATTTTCTAATTAAGCGCCGCTGACGAGAAGCTTCTCTACCTCTGCCTCCACTCCCTCTGCCTCTCCCTCTCCCTCTCCCTCTCTCACTCCTTCTTGCTGTGTGCCCCACCCTCCTGCACCACAGGCCACCAGCGCCGCGGCTGACTCATGCTTGGCCGATCACATGTGAATTTGAATTTGAATGGCGCCGCTGGACCGCCGCGCTGCACCACTCGCTGCACCACTGGCTGCACTTGTCACACACCCACAGCAGCACGCGGCAACCAGCGGCACCCAGCGGCTCCCAGCGGCTCCGCTCGGCTCGTCTCGAGTTGGCTCTCGGCCCCGTACAGTGGCCTCTCCACAAAGGCGCCGCCATCGAAGCTTCGCGGCGCTGATTTATTTATTTATCAGCGTAATTGCCGGCTAACTTATTAGTGGGCCACATAAATTTCCACCGTCAAGCGACGATTCACTGCCAGCGCCGCCCACTGGGCGTGCCACTGCGCTAAAACGCACATAATCGAGTTCAGATGGCGTTCAGAAGGCGCCGAGACGCCGCAGAGCCGCAGAGGCGGCACCCATACAAAATCGACTACGAACTAACTGCATTTTATTTTCTTTATTTTTTTTTTTTTAAGTTAAAAATCAAATATTTATAGAGCTGGGGCTCAAAAGGTCAGGAAGGAGCTTTAAGTGGACTCTAAGTGAGCTTTATACGAGCTTAAAGATAGTTTCAAATGTATCTGAAAAGCATTCTTAACATGAATAATTGCTTTTACTTTAACTTAGTTGGACTCTCAGCTTGCCTTGAGGCAGCTTTGATTAAACTTGAGGTAAGTTTGAAGTGGGCTTTAATCAAATATTTAAAGAAACCGATGAGCTTTGATATAATTTAGAAATGATTTTATAGAAATTGTAAGACAACATTAAATCATCGAACGAGCTCAAGTGAGCTTTGCTTTGGTAGAAAGCCTCCAAGGAGTTTATTTACTCAATTTCAGCAAGACTTTAAATACCCCAAAAGTTTACTCTAACTGGGCTACAACTTAGAACTAGTTCCCAATGAACTACAACTTAGAACTAGTTCCCAATGAACTTTAGACGACGTTTGAGTGAGTAAGTAAAAGTTCTTCACTGGCTTAAAGCTTCAAGTAGGTTTCATAAGCGCCTTAAGTGAATGTTATTCATTTACTGTGGTGAGCCGAAAGTTGGCTTTGATAG